TTTATCAATGACATAAAAAAATGTTTCAAACAAGAATGGAATGGTTTCGAGAAGGATGTATTTTGATCATGTTGTTTTTTTTCTAGATGGAGACGTCAAAATGATATGAAGGTTAATTTTTTTAATGGATTGTATGATTTTTTTTACACAACATGATTTCTCTAATTATTTTGCATATAAAAATATTAAGGTAATAATATCAAAGAAATGATAGTTGAGATATTTTACATTTTATTCTGGCATATATTGACATAAAATATTAAATAACTCGTAAATTATTAACTTTTTGATATTCGTACCTTAATACTTTTACGAAAAATAATGAGATGAATCGGTTGGTAGAAAGAAAATACATAGTTGCATATTAAAAAAATTGTCCATTTTGCATATACTACCTTAATACTTTTATATTTCAAAATAATTAGAAGAATCATATTATGTAAAAAAACATTTCTATTTAAAAAACAATTCTATTTAAAAAAATAGAGGTAACCTTCATATCTTTTTGATGTCTCCATCTAGAAAAAAATCAACAAAATATGCCTCTTGAAACCTTCCTACTTTCATTTGAAAGTAAATATTTTTTTATATCATCAAAAAAATTTCAGATAATCGATTTAAGTGGATCACTCTTTATATCTATATATATCCATATATATATATATATAACATTTTATTAGAACAAATGCTGGTAAATATTGACAAAAGCAGACCCAGTCTCATTGACATATGTTGTTAAGGTCATGACCTTGAATGATTTCCAAGTTTCAGCCATCGCTCGTTTATCGTTAAAAAATTATTAACAAAATAGTTTGAAAAATAATGTCTCTATTCTAATATATAAATCAGAAATTTTCTGCTTTAAAATATATTTTATGATTTTCCATTTCTAGCATATTGTTTGCGTATTGCTAGTAGTGTTACTGCGTATTGTAGAATAATAGACGTGCTCATAATAAACGATGCATTTCGAAAAACTCTTGTGTTTAATAAATCAATAATGATCTCGAGACTTTATAAGAAAATGACTCAATATTGTTTACTTTACAAATATTAATACACAGAACAAAATACCTTATCTCAATGTAGATTGAGAACCATATGAAGTTAAGGAAAGAAACGTGAGAACTGAAAAAGTAATATATCTGCTTATTTAATGTGATATCCGAAGTACATAAATTTAATTCGAACTTCATGGCATATTGAAATATCGTGAAGACAGCACTTTTTTACAACATTTTGGCACTAGTAGTACCAACCGTTGCAGAAGTATAAAGGATGCTCATATTACTTGTAGTGCTTGTAATACTGAATTCTACTTTATTTTGTTTATGTAAATGTAATAAAATGAAATATTTAATTCTGATAAACTGCAATGAAAAATAATAAATAATAAATATTATTATATTTAAAAATTAATAAGCAAGTTGAATTTAAGACGCATCAACCAAATTTAAGATATTAAATTGAAATGACTTACAGAATTCCTTCTTGACAAGATTGACTTCCTTCAGGGCAATGTCTTCTTTCAACTGCTCAGTCTGTTGGCTTGTAATTTTCAGTTTGCTTTTTAAATCTTGCACCTCCTCCTGCGTCTCTATCAAACTTTTATTACACAGATTTCGCTCCGCACGGACAGCTTCGAATAGACTTTGATGTTGACGATACTTGATTTCGGTATCAGCCAAGCGTTTTTTGTAATCTAATACCTCCACTTGTTTTTGTTTAGTGTCGCTTATTTGTCTCTCCAACTGTCAATATATAGTAAATTAATTATATTTGCATTACTTTGCTTAGTACACTCATTATTTTTCTTATAATCACTTAATAGATATTATATACACATTAAAACAGACAGTTAATAAATATAAATATATTAAAACGTAAAAAGAATTGCTTAAAAAAATTGATTTACTTAAATTTCGAATGTACGTATTAATTGTAAGGCTACAAATTGTAAGTCTAAAAATTTTGAAGAATGATTTTATAATGATACATGATGAAGGAGATTTAAAAAGTTTAAAATGATCAAGCTTTTCTTTGTCCAATTATAGCTCAGGAAAATTAGAATTTGGAAAAAAATTGTTGCAAAACTGAATTTTTGTATAGAGATCTATAATAGTGTATTTTTTAACATATCAAAATGTGTAAAGACATAGCTGGCTGTCTTGAAAACTGTCTTGAAAAAAATGTGTCGCAACAAAATTGGTTTCTTGCAAATATCTCAGAAACTAGTCGTACGGAAATTAACGTTTCAGTTCAGTTTGAAAATAAAGCTAATAAAAATTCTATAATTTCATTTTTTAATGAACTTTACATGCAATAGGTTCCGAGATAGATTTTTTTTTAAAGAATTTTTTATTTACGATCGTTACGTAAATATGTTGGCTTTGCAAATATCTCAAATTTGACTGTTCCTACGCACACAATGCATATAACAAAATCGAAACAGTATTTAATTATCTACAAAATAGTTTCTTAATGAATGTTGTACGACCCAGTTCCGGAGATATCATTTTTTAAAGAAATTTTTATTTTTTGTAAATATTATGAAAATGAGAACATTTCCTCGCAAATTTATCAGAAATATCTTATATATGGTTATTCCTATGTCATAAAATCAGCAAAATGAAAAATCATTAAATTTGCATCTTGGTTTTTTAATGATTTATATATTGTGACAATTTTTGTCCACTATCGAGAATCATTGGTGGTGAAATCGCGCGTCCTCCTGGTTCGAGAGGCAAGCGCGCATGCGAGTGCACCTGCAAACGTGCGCTACTCCTTAATTATTTGTTTTTATTTAAAAATTTTTCTTTTTTTATTGAGACGTTTTTTTCTCTTTAGTGATTAGTTTCACAATTAGAATTGCCACAGACCGTGCTCGGTAGCAATCCTTCTATAATTGTGCGTCTAACTCACCATTGGGAGAAGAAGGACTACATCGCTAGAAAGAAAGAAAAGGCGATACTGGAAAACCATTTATCTAGGAACCTAGACACGCAGGTTGTATTGTTTCATATATTATATTTGCTTGTAAGCTACTGCCGCCCTAAAATCTTCTTACATCGTACACCCCTTGTAGAATACGACTGGAGACGAGAATCCTCGGCTATCTAAAGGACAGGACGTTCGTCGAGGATATATGCCTCCAGTACGGAATTGGAAAAGGAGCTGCCAGAACATCCCACGACAACTCAGGAAATTCCGGAGTCTTCGACGGAAAGGGACCTTTGGAAGGAAATTGAAAATTGAATTACGCGCTTTTAAAAGTAGGGATTCGTGACCGCGAGGACAACATGATAAGCCGAAGCCAATCGGCGTGACAGCCTCTTAAAGGAAGGGGGAGAGGGAGTGGCCAATCGGCCTACGTGAATCCGCAAGGAGCTCCCGGGCTCCACTCGTTCTGTGGCCGAGCCGATAGATGTGAGAACATGCGACTTTACTACTGACGATCATTCCTGAAGATTGCGAGTATTACTGCCGAGAGAAATATTGAGGGATTGCGGAAGGATCCTACTCCAGAGGATGAGATGAACGTCGCCATCGTTATTGTAAAGCTACCGATCCGGATTCGTAGTTTCAGGTAGATCGCATGTGGAAAAGCTCGCGTCGCGAAAAGCGGCCGGTTTAATAGTGTAGAGTCGTAAAATTGCGAGACACGTGCCATCCTCCCAAGCATTGTGATTAGATGAAATATTAGTTGTCGCCTCTCTTATCACCAATCGAATCATTTTAAACTTTCGTTTTATCTTGTATCGTTTGTGTCACGCTGAAATTATAGTGATCGTTTCACGCTTTTGAGTTTACGTTCGGTTTCGCATCAATCATGTTACCCTCCTGGCGAGTAACGGGTATTATTTCGGATACGAGTTCTTACATGCTGTCGAGAGGTTTGTGAATAATCATTTAACCGTCATCTTCTAAGGCGACCGCGGAGAAAAGCTCGTGGTCTAGAGTACAGGGCCCATCATTAGAAGTAAGCCATCGTTGTCTTTTGTGAAAATAGATTACATCAAGTCCAGCGGAGGGAGCGAAGCTCCGGAGAGTAAAATGATTTGCTAAATATAATTGTTCTTAATTTTTTTCTTATCTTGTGTGATTCTTGCAACCTACCTCTCTTATTCTACGACAATTTTCTCACTTTTGACAACCCATCCCTGATGCTGTCGCGAATTAATTAATTTAATTAATTAATTGTGAATAAAAATAGGAAAGAATATGGAAAGTATGGCACGCTCTCCCGTGCCTGGCACCCAATTTGTTTAGCAAAAAGCTCTGATATTTGTGTAAAATCTACGTGGCTATCGAATGTAAAAACTTTTCAAAAAGAGTAGATCAAGGAGTAGGCGACAAAGTTGTCGTCGCTTGCGAGCACGGTTACAATACAACTAATTATTAAGCTACAGCTGGAAAACGTTCATTATATGTATTTTTTAGTATATTTTTGTAAATAACTTATTTCTGACATATCTTAAGCGAAACATACAGAAAAATCTTGTAAAATCTTATAAAACATCAGTGAAATTTTATAAAATCATCTTTAAAATGGAATTTTTTTAAACTTTCTCCGATTAATAGTTTCCGAGATACAACCTTTAGAATACTTCGTAATGATTTTATGATAAAATCGGACATTTTTTGTATAAACAAACATATGTAATGATAATAAAATAATTAATATCCACATTTTTCTGTTAGTTTATATATGTATATATATA